TGACCCCAGCGGGTCGCATCCGCGCTTCCCTTCTGGCTGGGCCCGGGGCCGCGGTGGGAAGGCCTGAGCTGCAAAACTCACACGGCCCCCTCGCTCCCCACGGCCCCAGCGGGGAGGCCTTGCCGCCTGCGTGGCCACACCCCCTGCCGTCCCGCAGGCCGCGCTCCGGGCCTGGCCCCCCGCCAGCCCTCCGCCCTGACCCTTAGACCCCCTGGCCCATTGTGGGGGCCACGGGGCCCCAGCCTGGGGGTCCTGTGGGAGTTGGGCCCGGCCTTCTCCACCTGGGCCTCCCTCACAGCCTGGCCCCTGCGGTCAGGCGGAGCCGGACCAGGGACTTCGGTGCCGCAAGAGCGCCCGATGCCGGCTCGTGCCTCGGCTCTGCCACCCCGGCCCCTCTCGGGGCCTCGGTCTCCCCGTCCGCAGAATGGAAGGGCGGTGCCTCCCGGAAAGTCCCCGCAGGCCCGTCACCTTGGCCACGGCCCAGCCCCCCGAGGCAGCGCTTGTGGGGAGGCAGCGGCGGCCCCCAGAGGCTGGGGGCCTGCTCCAGGCCGCGCGAACAATGCGCTTCCCCCACACAATTCCCAGAAACGCCGCCTCCCTGCCCTGCCAGCCCGGCAGCCTGGCGGCCACTCCGCCAGCCTCCCCAGGGCCCGGCCGCGGCGGGTCGGGGGCTGGGGGGGAGGAGGGGGCCGGCAATCTCGGGGCCTAGGCTGGGGGGCTGAGGACCAGGCCTCGGGAGTGACCGCTGGCCCCGCGAGGCCCAAGCCCACACAGCTCTGGGCTGGGGCCGTGGGGCCCCCCAGGGGTCCCCTTCCACTGCCCAAAGCCCTGCAGGTCGCCAAGGCTCCTTCAGAGAGAAAGCCAGGCCCACCCGCCCCATTCGCCGGGCCCCTCCCGGCCCCGTAAGCTCCGTGCTCTCCTCCCTGTCTTTCACACGCGTCCGTCCAGGAGCCGCTGAGGACGCCCCTCCTGAGAGCCGGGCACCCCGACACAGGCCCCCTCCGAGGGGCAGCGCCCGAGCCTTGACTTGCTGGCAGGTTCTCTGACTGGGTCTCCCCAGGACCGGGCTCCCCATGGGCAGGGACTTGGGTCTGGTTTCTCTGCTGCCCAATTCCGTCCCCCAGACCAGCGTCCAGTACACGGCAGGTGCTCAATAAACACAAGCAAACAGGAGGATGAACTATTCCTGTCCCCGAGGAGGAAGGAGGGATGGTGCCCAAGGACACAGACCCCCCCCTCCCAGCCCAGCTGGGCCATCAGAGCCACTTGTCCCCACAGCTGGGGGCCGGTGCCCCCCCCCCGTGGCTCTGCTGCTTCCCACGATCCCCAGGACAGCGGAGGGTTGTCACCAGCGCCTGGCGGGAGCACGTGGGCCCGGGCCAGCGTGGGGCAGCGTGGCCAGGGGGGCACTGTGCTGCGAGGCCCAGGGCGCCGGCCCCGGCCCCGGCCCCGGCCCCGGAAGGGCACACGGAGAGCCCGCCCCTACTGCACGGAGGGCCCAGCCTCTGCAGGGCAGACGCCCGCCGGCGGGCGCTGCGACCCGAATGAAGCCCGGGCCCAGGTCGGCGGCATGGGGCGGGGCGGGGGCCAGAACACCGGGCGGCCGGACAGACAGAGTGTCTGGCGCCTGCTCGGCCAGGCTGGCCCTGGGCTCCGGCCTCGCAGCTGCAGCCTTCCTTCCTGAGCTGGTGTTTCCTGGCTCCGCCCTGCTGTTGCCACGGAAACCTAGAGCAGCCGGCTCCCCCCAAGCCCGGTTCCCATGGAGCCCCTGCTGAGCGGGGAGGGGGCCACACACACAGCACGCAGCAACACCCCAGGACACACACAGCCACACTGGGCCCCAGGGCTCACAAGGCTCGACACCCCAACTCTTGCAGGGCAATGCCGCCTGCCACTTGGAACACCCACAGAAGCCGCTACCGCCACGTGACCTCACCCACTGTCCACGGCCTGTGTGCCACTCACGGGCCTACCGGCAGGACCCAGGCCCCGCGCCCCCACCCGCTCAGCCCTGCCGGCCCCGCGGCCCTCAGGCCAGACCTGACACCCCGCACAACAGCCCCGACTCGCCGCACCCACCGAGGCACCCCCAGCGACAGCCGCTCGCCGCTCTGCTCGCTCCCAGGGCTCGGACCCTGGGCCAGCCCCACACCCCACGGGCGCTCGGCCACCCGGTCCCGTGGCCGCAGCTCCGCTCAGCCGCAGGCCCCCGGCCTGGGAGTCAGACGGTGACCCCAAACGGAACCTGCCGCACCCACCCGCCACCGTGCTCTCCCAGAAAAGGCCCACAGCACCCGGGAGCCGGGCGCCGCCGGAAGGGGCAGGAAGGCCGGCAGGTACACCGGCCCGTCGCCGCGCGAGGCGCACGCCTGTGCCCACTGGGCTCCGGCGGTCGGACGGCCTGCCCAGCGGCTCTGCCCGGCACCTTGCAGCCCCCATCCCCACCCTGGGGAACAGCGTCAAGACAGGTGTGAGGACCTGGGCCAGACCTCCAGCCCCGGCCTCCAGGACACAAGGCGGGGTATGACCGGGTGGCCCAGCTCCGCAGTCGAGGTCTGGGGAGACCAGCGAGCCCCTCACCTGGTCCTACGTCCAGGGGGACCTGCCTCCACCCCCCCGGAGCAGGCAGGCCCAGCCCCACAGGCCTCTGTAATTGGTCCCAGGCCCACGGCTCCCGCGGCGGGGCGGGGCGGGGCGGCCTGGAGCCTGTGAGGTCCGGGCCCGCGGCAGCGCCTGGGAGGTCCGCCACCCCAGAGCCACCGAAGGGACTACCCAGCATCCTCCGCAGGCTTCACCCAGAGGCTGGGGCGTCCAGTCCGGCCACGGGAGGAATGAGAGCACGGTGCCCCCCGGCCCTCCAGGCCAGCGGCGCCCTTGCAGAGGAAGGCTGCCCCCGCGTCACCTTCGGTCAGGGGGTCAGGGGGCTGCAGACAGGGCCACCCAAGGGTGGGAAGCAGCCAGCCTGAGCCAGGCCAGCCTGAGGCACAGAGACACCCCCAAACTCATGAACCGTCCACACTTTGGCTGGCTCTGGGGCCACAGCTTGGGGGCCAGGGAAGTCCTGGGGACTCCTCCCCTGGTGGGTGTCCAGGGCCAGGGCTGCCCTGAGCGGGACCCCCATTCCAGGTCCTGGGCAGCCCAAACCCGGGCAAACAGACACACACAGACCACACACAGGCGCAGACACACATCTGACGCCCCTCCCCCGGCCCAGCCGCCACACCCCCTGCGGCCCTTGTGGAGCCCGGGGTCCTCACCCTGTTGTTCTCCCATCTGGACAGTGGGCCCGAGCAGCAGGCTGCCGGCGCCCCCGCGGCATGCGGAGGGGGTAGCCTGACCCCCAAAGAGGTAGGGGCGTCGGGGGCTCTCCCCCTCCCCCGCCCAGCCTGGCCCTGACCCACAGGACATGACAGCCGGACACCTGAGCCGAACAGTTGGAGCGAGAGGGAGGGTCCCTGGCTGGCGCCAGGCGAGGCGGCCACGGCGGGGCACGGGGGCGGCGAGGTGATGCCGGACGTGGCCCGCACCCCGCCTTTGCCGCCGCCGGGGCCACGCCGGGCTGCAGGAGGCCGGGCAGGGCCCCCGAGGAGCCAGGCATCTGTCCCAACCAGGGGGGCCGGGGAGGGCCCTTCCCGAGCCCCGGGGACCCTTGCCCCAGACCCGCTGCCGCCCTGGAGGCCCAGCCACAGCGAGAAGGCTGTGGGAGCAGCAGCCCCCACCGGGGCGGACCCCCAGGGCCCACCCCTCCACCTGGAGCACCCCCCCAGCGGCTGCTGCGTCCCCCGCTCGCCGGTCAGAGGCCAGCGGCTCCACTGGGCTGGGCCCTCCTGCGGGGCTGCTCGGGGGCTGGAGGGCCACACGGGACTCGCGTCGCTCGCTGACCGGACATCGCCCAGAGGAGTTACCAGGGACAGAGCGCCGAGCGCCTGTGGCCACGCGGGCCCATGGTCACCGGCACCTGCGGTCACGCACCGTGAAGCCCCCGGCGCATGGGCGGCGGCGGCTGGGCTGCAGGCGGCTGTGCAGGGGCCCAGGGGGCTGAGGGCACTGCTGCACCCCCACAGCACCGTCCTCAGGAGGAGGGGAGCCCTCAGCTCCCGGAGCCCAGGCCCCTTCTCCTGGGGTGGGGACTGGGAGGAGGCTGACGTCCCTCCGGAGACCCTCCCAGGCCTGACGGCCCAGGACAGGCACCCACCCTCCGTCGCCGCTGCCCGGGCCTCCGCTCCTGGTGGAACGGGCCGGGCAGGGAACCAGCGAGGACTGAGCACAGGCCCCTACCCCCGACCCAGCCGGGGACAGGAATGAGGGAGGGGACTCTGGAATTCGGGGAGGCTGCTCTTCCGCCCTCCAGACCCCCTCTGTCCAGATTTGTCCTGCGGGCAGTTGGATTGGTGCGGGGGAGGGGCAGGAGGACCCTCTGCTCCTTTAACCCCGCCGGTGGGGTCAGCAGGCCTCCAGTGCTGAGCACTCAGCGTGGGGGGCGGGGGCGGGGCATTGGCTCCCCCCAATATGGGGCGCTTTCTCAAAATGCCCTTTACCGTGGGTCTAGACTCCCAGAAGGACTTACGGCTGCTGGGAGGCAGCCTCCCAAGAAGATGGTGTTAGAACATCCCCCCCGCCCCCCCACTGCAGTTTCAGTGGGGAGGCTGCCACCAGCCCCAGTCACCTCCCGCGGGCCTGACTCCGTGGGTGGGGGCGGCACCTCATCTCTGAACCTCTGACAGCCCCCGAGGACGCCCCCTCCAAGCGCCAGCCCACATCAGTGGCGCTTTCGCGTTCGGGGGGGTCTCTCCTCCGCATGGTGCAGGGGGCGCTGCGCGGAGGAGGCCGCGCCGGAATGCGCCGCGAGGAGAAGAAAGGCGGCCCGGGAGGGGGCGGCCCCGGCCCGCCCCGGCCCGCCCGTCCCGCCGCCCATTGGCCCCGCGCCGCTATATCTGGGCGCCCACCCGGCGTGAGGCCACCGCCGTGCCCTCCGCCGCGCACCCGTCCCTCCCGGCCCCGAACTGCTCGCTGCCCACCGCCGCGCTCCCGCGCTTCGTTCCGCCCAGGCCGCGCCCAGCTGGAATGCAGAGATCGCCGCCCGGCTACGGCGCACAGGACGACCCGCCAGCCCGCCGCGACTGTGCATGGGCCCCGGGACCCGGGGCCGCCGCTGAGCCGCGCGGCCTCCCCGCCGCCGCCGCCGCCCCCGCCGCCGCTGCGCCCGCCGCGCCCGCCTCGTCGCCCAGCCCGCCGCGCAGCCCGCCGCGCAGCCCCGACCCGGGGCGCTATGGCCTCAGCCCGGCCGGCCGCGGGGAGCGCCAGGCGGCCGACGAGTCGCGCATCCGGCGGCCCATGAACGCCTTCATGGTGTGGGCGAAGGACGAGCGCAAGCGGCTGGCGCAGCAGAACCCGGACCTGCACAACGCGGTGCTCAGCAAAATGCTGGGTGAGTGGCGCCGTCGGGCGGGCGGGGGGCAGGGGGCGCGGGGGAAGGCGGGCGCGGCTGGGGGTGGGCCGGGCCGTCCGTGCGACGGAGGCTGCTGACCCGCGCCCGCGCCCGCAGGCAAGGCGTGGAAGGAGCTGAGCGCGGCGGACAAGCGGCCCTTTGTGGAGGAGGCGGAGCGGCTGCGCGTGCAGCACCTGCGCGACCACCCCAACTACAAGTACCGGCCGCGCCGCAAGAAACAGGCGCGCAAGGCCCGGCGGATGGAGCCCGGCCTCCTGCTCCAGGGCCTGGCGCCTCCGGCCCCGCCAGCCGAGCCCTTCCCCGCGGCGCCGGGCCCGGCCCGCGCCTTCCGCGAGCTGCCCCCGCTGGGCGCCGAGTTCGACGGCCTGGGGCTACCCACGCCCGAGCGCTCGCCGCTGGACGGCTTGGAGCCCGGCGAGGCCGCCTTCTTCCCGCCGCCCGCGGCGCCCGAAGACTGCGCGCTGCGGGCCTTCCGCGCGCCCTACGCGCCGGCCGAGCTGCCCCGGGACCCCGGCGGCTGCTACGGGGCACCCCTGGCCGAGGCGCTCAGGACCGCGCCCGCTGCGCCGCTCTCCGGCCTCTACTACGGCGCCTTGGGCGCGCCCGGCCCGTACCCCGGCCCGCTGTCGCCGCCGCCCGAGGCCCCGCCACTGGAGGGCGCCGAGCCCCTGGGGCCCGCCGCCGACCTGTGGGCTGACGTGGACCTCACCGAGTTCGACCAGTACCTCAACTGCAGCCGGACTCGGCCCGACGCCGCCGGGCTGCCGTACCACGTGGCGCTTGCCAAGCTGGGCCCGCGCGCCATGTCCTGCCCGGAGGAGAGCAGCCTGATCGCCGCGCTGTCCGACGCCAGCAGCGCCGTGTACTACAGCGCGTGCATCTCGGGCTAGGCCCGCGCCCCGCCCGCAGCCCCGCCCGCAGCCCCGCCCCGCCGCGCGGCACCGCTCTGCCTCCGCAGGTGCGGCCGCGGCCGCTTGCAACCGCCGTGCTCCGGCCCGCGGGCCCTGCCGGCGTGGCTCCCACCGGTCGGGCCTTGCCAGGACGCCCAGGCCTCGGCCCTGTGGGCTGGCCCTGCCAGGGTGAAGTTTTTTGAAGCGCTTAATCCTTTTCCTGCAGTGTTTTCTAGAACTATGCTGTATTTTTTTTTTACTTTGCCTTTTTTATACACGTAATACACTATATTTAATTTTTAAGTAAACACGTAACCCTTTTTCCCAAGGGCCTCCACGGTCAGAGCATCGCTGTAGCCAGGGCTTTTCAAATAGGAGTAACGACGGCTGTCGGCTGGGAAGGAGGAGCCTGGAGCCCTGGGCCCCCGGGGCCGCCTGAGGCCACAATAAAGCGCCTCATCCTGGCCCCTGCGCCCGGCCTGGTCTGTTGGGGCGGGGCCTGGGCCCTGGACACGCCCTTCCCCCCAAATCTGTCCCCCAGAACCTGGCTCCCAGCTTGGACTCCACAGCACCAGCCTCCCCGTCCTGGCAGGAGGACACTCGCCCAGAGTGGGTGGGCGGCGGCAGCGGGCACTCCCCACCCTCCCAGCCTTTGACTCCCAGCCTTTGACCCCCCCCCGCCCACCCACCCCCCACATTTTAACACATGCCTAACAGTCAGAGACACCCGGCAACCACCCACCTCGGTTCCCGCAAACTCCTCTCCGCCCTGAAGATCCCCGCCCAGGCGCCAGCCGGACGCGCCTCCAGGGAGGTGACTGCTGGGGTGGGTGCCTCGGTGCATCCAGTGGCCCGGCGTCTCCAGAGCCACGCCCCAGTGCTCCCCAGGGTCACCTGTCCAGGCTCGGCCCAAGGACAGAAGGTCAGTGACCAGAGCGGGGGCTCAGGCTTAGCATCAGGAGCCTGGAATCGCAACCGCACAAGCCCCGTGCCCCCTCCCCAGATGGGACGCCCTCCTACACTGCCTGCCTGGCCCCGGCTCCTTCCGGCCCTCGGGCTGCGGAGATGTCACGGTGATTCTTCCCTCGCGGGTGGAGCCCGTGAGCACCCCAACATGAGTCCCCCGCGCACACACCTCACAAGGCCTAGAGGTCTCTGAGGAAGAGGACTCAGGTGTCCCCGCGGTCTGTGGGGCCTCAGCCCCCCCCCCCACAGCACATGGGGGTGACCACTGATCCCCGGCAGCCCCAACGTGCGGTGGTCGCGCTCCGTCTCCTGTGCACGCGTGCCCTGCCGGGAGCACCCGTGGCTGGGACTGAGCCTGGTCACACGTGTGAGCGTGCCTGTGAGCCGGTGTGGGCACCGCGTGCCCACAGGAGGCTCTGAGTGCAGCTGTGATGCCGACCGTGTGACCAGCCGTGGGGGGCGGCCGCGCGTGTGGTGGCCGGCGTGTCTGAGACCCTGCACATGCATGTGCGTGCCTGTGTGTAAGGCCCGCCCGCGCACACGGGTCTGCTGCCTGGCGGGTGGGGCGGGGGCAGGGTGTGCAGCTGTTCCAGGCGTCCTGCCTCTTGGAGGCAGGCTGCCAGCACCAGGTCAAGCAGCCCGAGCCGTGCACCGGAGCGGGCAGAGCAGGGCCGGGCCCAGAAAACGCAAAGGGACAGAGAGACGAGCTGAGGGCAGCCGGGCACAGGCCTGGAGGTGGAAGGCGAGGCCCAGGGGGTGGGGGGGACAGACAGAACCAGGCCGTGGCGCACACCGCGGGCAACGCCCGCTGCTTCAGAGCAGAGCAGAGCTGGCGCGCGGGAGGCAGGGACGCCAGACACGAAGCGACAGGGGTGGTCCTGTCCAGGCACATTTGTCGTGGGCCGGGGCGGGGGCGGGGGCGGGGGCGGCGCCCAAGCTGAGCCCCGGGCTCACGCGCGGGGAGAGGTGCTGTCACCCCCGGCTCTGCGCCAGCCAGCTCCTGTTCCAGGCCTGCCCCTGCCGCAGGAACAGGGGACGGCCCCGCCCCTCCCCGGCCCGGGGTCCGCCGGCCCCTCCCAGGAGTGGACGCTGCAGCAGCTGGGGCCCAGGAGCCCCCGGCCCAGGCGTGGGCCCCACACCGCCTCAGCGCCGCCCGGCCGGGGCGGAGGAAGGAGGCCCAGCCCCAGGGAGGGCTCCCTGCCTGGGCCCAGGCACTGGGCCCGAGACGGCCAAGGACACACACGCAGGAGGTGCCAGCCCAGCGGCCAGGGCCGTCTGTCCGTCTTTGCTGCTCCCTGGCCCAGCAGGAACAACACCCCCACAGCCTCCGTCCGGGCTCTGCACCCCTCCCCGCCCCACCAGAGGGCGCGCCCCGCAGAGGCAGCGGGGTGGGGAGCCACACGGGGGCCTTGGGGGGGCAGAGCAGCCAGGTCCCCGGAAGCCGCTCCCTCCGTGCCGCGGTGGGCAGCTCAGGGCGCCCCGATCGGGAGGCGTCCCCGTGCCGGGGACTGAGGGCGTCCGAGGAGGAGGAGGAGGAGGACGAGCAGGGCGTTCCCCAGAGGGCAGCTGTTTCTAATAGCCGCTTCTCAGCAGCGGCAGTGGGTGGGCGGCCGCGGCCCCGGCCCCTCCGAGGACCCTCGGTCCAGGGGCCTGGCCCAGCCCGGGGGCCGGACGGCCTCCCAGGGGGACTACAGCCCCGGGGTCCGGGTGGCTCGCCTCCAGGTCTGGCTCCCCACACCCCCCTCCTGGCCCCACCCACTTGCCTCCCGAGGGTCAGAGAAGGGAAGTCCCCACCCCCCAGCTCCCCGCTGAGTCAGGCCAGCCAGGAACAGCCGGAGCCACAGCCCTGCCTGGCGCAAGCCAGGGCTCCCCCGCCCGGACCCCAGACTGGCCCTGGAGTGACCGGGCGGGAAGCCGACCCTTCCCCACACGCAGCCCGTGCGCGAGCGCTCCGGGCGTGTCCTGTGAGCGGAAGCCCCCCGTCCTGCGTGGTCACTGAGCGCCCTGCTCTGAGGGTTCGCCCGCGGTGCACTCGCCAGGGCGGCTCCGCGCTCCTTTCGAAGGCCAAGTGACACTCTCCTGCGTGGCCTGAGCCCGTTGTGGACCTGCGGCCGGGAGCGCGCCGGGCGCGTGCGTTTGTATTCGCGTTACATCCACTAGTATCTGCCACGCCAAGTCTGAGCAAGTGGCTTAAGCACCTTAAAATCTGTATGCAAGAGCAGCTGTCCCCAGAGGGGGCCAGAACCTCTGCCCTCCCATCCCAACGCCCCCCACCCAAGGCTCAGCCCAACCCCCACTCCTGCCTCAGGCCAGAGGGGCGCCAAGGGGCAGGTGCCAATCAGTCCCCAGAGGGGTGTGAGCGTGGGGGGGGCCCAGCCCTGGGGGAAGGGTCTGGCGGTGCCTGGGCCGCCCCTCCTTGTTTCCGCCCACAGACCCTCCGTCCCTGCCCACCCTCACCTCCCACAGTCCCCGGCCTCCTGGGGACACACCGAGGGCCCACGGCCGAGTACTGTGGGGCCCCCGCACCTCTGCCTTGCTGTCCACGACCCCGCCGCCCCCATGACCCCGTCCCCATGACCCCACCCTGTCCCGACTCCCCCATAACCCCAGTCCCACGCCCGCCCGCCACTCGAGGAAACAGGAAGGGAAGCGTGGCGGCGGAGACGGCGGCGTTGAGAGGAAGTGCAGGAAGCAGCGGCAGGCGCGGGGCTTATCTGGAGCCGCAGCCGGACCCCTGGCCTCGCGCCCCGCGCAGGCGGGGCGGGGGTGCGGGGGCAGCAGGACAGGGCGGATCCCCTGGCGGGGCGCCCTGCGAGCACAGTTCCCGGGAGACACCAACAGGAGGCGCCCAGGCCAGCGTCGGATGCACAGACGCCCGCCGCCCTCGCCCCACCCGCGGCCCCCAACGAGGGCTGCTCCCCGGCCGGTGCCTGCTCCCGGCTGGGCCCCGGGGCTGGGGGGCGGTTAACTGGGGTAGGCAGGGCGGCTGTTTGTGTCTGTGTGGACAAAGCCGGGTCTTTTCCTTGGGAAGAGGCAGGACGCGGGCTGTCCCTGGGCCGCTGGCAGGGACCGTGGGCTCCAGCACCTGGCACTGGCCCCGCCCTGAGTGTTTGCTTTGCTTCCTGGAGTGGGGGGCCTTGCTTCCCGGCAGCCACAGCTGGGGCGGCCAGGCCCCTTGAACCGCTGCCGGGACGGGGACCCGCACTCGCTTGCTGGCCAGGCCGGGGCGGCCCGGCCAGCGCCCCTCCAGGCCTGAGCGCAGGTGTTTCCTCCAGAGGCCCCCAGCGCGGGCACTGCCGCAGCCTCCCCCACGCCCGGCGCCGGACGTGAGGGCCGGCCAGCTCACGTCCTGCCCCGGCCCGCACGCGGCCGCGGCGCCGCGGGCCCGCAGCTCGTCTCCGCGGGCTGGGCCTGCGTGCTCCTCTTCCCCTCCCTCACCCCTCCTCGGGCAGCTGGGTGGGGGGGGGGGGCGGTGCTGCCGGAGCCAAGCGCCCCCCAGGGCAGGGTGTGCGGCCGCCCCTGCAGCCCGCTGGCCGCCGGGGAGGGGTGGAGGTGGGGGGGGGCGGAGGTGGGGGGCGGGCGGGCGAGCCCGGGGCACACACAGTGGGAGAGTCAGGATGAGGTTTCTGGAGTTGCGAACCCCGGGACTGGTGTGCAGCGGCCGTGTGCCAGATGTTCCCTCAAAGCCTCCCAGGCTGGTGAGACCGTGGGACCGGCTGCCCTTCAAAGCCGGCCCGGCCCCTCTCAGGGCCGCACGCGGTGGGGGGGGTCAGCTCCCTGCGTTGGGACGTTGCACAACCGCGGCGGTGCCCTGCAGCCCTGCCGGTCACCGCACAGCCCGCCTCTGCGTCCCGGCCCCACCCCCGAGGCGGCTGGGAAGGCCCCTGTGGGGCAGGGCACCGCCGGGGGCAGCCCAGGCCCCACCCCGTGTGGGCCCCAGCTGCCGGTTCACACGGGGAGAAGCAGGCGCGGGCCGTGCGGGGCCGCCCGCTCTGCCCTCGGGGCCCGCAGCCTCCCTGCCGTGCGGCCTCGGATCTCCACGCGCTGGGCAGCTCCAGCCGGCGCGTCTTCTGAGTGCTCAGTGCCGCCGCGGCCCACCAGAGGGCCCCATGCTGAGGCCAAGGGCAGCGGGCACCTCGGGGTCAGAGCGAGGCGCCCCCGGCCTCCCCTCAGCGGTAGCCATGGCTCTGTACCTGCCCCCAGACCTGATCTGGATGGGGCGTCCGCACTCCTCACAAGTGAACTTTGCCCCGGAAGCCAAAGCCCCCTCCCACCCCCCAAAACGACAAAGCCTACTCCCAGAACCCAAGCAGGACCTTTTCTGGAAAAGGGTCCCAGCAGAGGACCCCGAGGAGAGGAAACCCTGGGTTTCTCGGGTGGCACCGAGTCCAGAGCAAAAGAGCCTCACGGGAGGAGGGGGCAGAGCTGGAGGGACGCAGCCACAGCCAACGGGCGCCTGGGGCCCCCGGGAGGTTCGCTGCAGGCCCTGGAGGGGGCAGGGCCCTCGGATGCCGCGGGTTCAGGCCAGCGGAGCCGTGAGGAAACCAATCCTCTGCTGTGTCAGGCCCCCGAGCTTGTGGTCTTTGACAGTGGCCTAGGAAACCAATACAGGTGACTTCTGGGACGTGGCCCCGGTCCCCCACCCAGGGCGCCAGCCTACCACCCGGGGGTGGGCGTGTCTAAGGCCCCGACAGAAGGGACAGAGCAGGAAGGGGGGGCACTGTGCCGAGGACAACCCTGGAGCAAGACCGCGGGCAGGCGGGGACAGCCTGCTGCTGACGCCCTTGAGCGAGCAGGCAGCGCCCTGGGTGGGTGGCAGCCAGGGAGCCCCTAGCCCTGCGCCCCTCGCGGCCCCAGGGCTGGGGCAGGCGCAGTGCCCGGGGACCACAGGGGCGACCCCTAGCCTCTCTCACTGACCTTCTCCAGCCCTGGCTCTGCTGCCCCACCCCTCGGGCTCCAACCAGAGCTGACCTGCTCCCCCGGCCAGGACACCGAGCCCCCCCCCGCCGCCCTGATGTTGGGTGACACCAACAGCTCCGTCTAACGCGAGTCTGTTCTCCTCTACTGGGGTCGCCCTAGCTCAAGAGCACACGCCCGGCTGCCCCGGCCTCTCCTTGAGCCTTGACCACACAGCCCCCATGCCCAGTGCAGGCTGTTTGCGACCCGATTCTAACGTCCCCCCGTGGCCCAGGCCCTCGGGCCGCACGGCTCCGGTCGCCCCACCCGCGCGCCTGCCCCGGCGACAGCCCGCACTGCACACGTGCGCACAGGCCGGCGCCGGCAGCTTCGCCCTCAGGCTCAGCGGGGCCCCCAGGCCCACACCTCGTGGCCAGGGAGTGCGGGAAGGGAGCCAGAGGCCGAGCGCGCACCCAGGCCCCGGCGCCCGCTGCCCGCGGGCCACACCGACGCCCCGCTCGCCGCCGGGGTCCCGCCGCAGCTCTCCCACCTCCTGGCGGGTGACGGGGCTGAGCCCTGACCTCCCGCCCGGTGCCTCGGCGCCCTGCAGCGCGGGCTGCCCGTGCGCACGTGGGGACTGCGGCACGCGCTCGCCCTCTGCTGCACCAGCCCTGCGGCCCCCCAGGGGGGCCGCCCGCCTGGGAGGAGTGTGACAGCAGGTGTGCAGCCCGCCAGGCGTCCGCCTCGTCGGGGTGCTCGGGAGGGGCAGGGCCCCAGGGCGGTGCGGCTGTGCGTGCGGAGCTCAGGGACCGGCGCCCCCTCTGCCCGGCCGACGGAGGGTCCCGGGCCAGCCCGCCCAGTCCCACGGAGGGGCTGCGGCCGCCCTCCCAGGGCCGCAGGAAACGGCCTGGCCCCCTTGCAGCCAGGGCCGGTGGCTCCGGCTTCCCTTCAGGCCCATTTCCTTTATCCGGCTGTTTTGCTCCGAATTCACAAAGCCTGGCCTCCCCCGCCACCCCCCCGCCATTTCCACCCCTTCCCCCACTGGAGTGGAGCAGGACCGAGAAGCCACGTCCTCGGGCCACAGGAGGCCCCCCCATCCCCCAAGCCTCCGGCTGGACCGGAGTCATGTGTCCCAAGCCGCCCCCTGCTGCCCGAGCCGGGGAGTGCGGCGCTCACTCAGGTGGAACAGGACGCGGACCCCCCGCCCCGCCCCCCGCCCCAGGCCACCGCCAGCTGGTGCCCCCAGCACCCAGCACCAGCCGAGGAGCAGATCCCCGGGCGCCCCCAGGGCCAGCAGGCGCAGGGAGCGAGAACGGACCACAGCACCAGCTGTTTATTGAGGCCTCGCTCGGGCGTGGAGAGCGGTCTGGGATCGGGCAGGGCTCACATCTCCAAAGTCCTGGGCCCTTGAGGGGCCGCGGGCCAGGATGAGGCCCAGGCGGGTAGGCAGGACCCAGGGTTCAGCCGAGGTCACCAGGGGAGCCCTCGGTCGTGGCCAATCGAGGACGCTCCTTCTCAGGTCCCGGGCAGCGCGCGCTAGGGGCTCCCGTGGGCCCAAGCGCGCAGCGCGAAGAGCTTCTCCCAGCAGGTGGCGACAGCGTTCAAGGTTCGCAGCAGAAGTCGCCTCCGGCCGCCGCCGTGAGGCCGTGGCTCCTGGTGCGTCTGGGGCCGCCGGCGCCGGCTCCGCTGTCGGGAAGGGTTGGTCAGCGAGAGCGCCTGCCCCAGCCCCCTGCCCCTGGGGAAGGACCAAGGCGCAGCCAGTGGGCCCAACGTGAACCCCCAAACCGCGGAAGGACCCGTGCGCACTTGGGCCGGCAGGCACACCTGGCGCGGGGTCCGGCAGTGGCGCCGCATCACGGCCTCAGTGCGCAAGGCGACGGTCCAAGCTGCTTTCTCCAGGGCCCCGCGGCGACGCCCGGCCGCTGCGCTGCGCAGGGTCTGGCCCAGGGAGGCGATGGAGGCGAGGATTCCGTGCTCCTGGGGGCGGAGGCGGCAACTGGGGGTTGGGCGCGGAGCCCGACGGGCAGGCGGCAGGGCGCAGGCGGCAGGGCACGGGTGGGCGGCACCGCCTACCTTCTGGGCGCCACAGGAGGGTCCCAGCCGACCCCGCCGCCGGGCGGCCGCAGCTCTTGTCTGGTTCCTCTGAGGAAGGTGGAGGTGCCTGGAGCCCGGCCCGCTCCCTGCGGCCCCCAGCCCCGCCCGCCTCACAGCGGCCTGCAGGTCCTCGAGGATGACCGCCCGGTAGTGGCGCAGGACGTCGGGGACGCTGCAGCCGCGCGGCCGCGCGGGGACGGGCGCGAGTCCCAGCAGTGCGAGCAGGAGCGCCCAGAGCGCGGGCTTGGGGGGCACCTGGAAGGCCGCCGGGTCAGGGGGGCCCCCCGCAGCCTCGCAGGCCGTCCTCAGCGTCGCCCCACGGCCTGGGGCTCTGAGCGGGAGCCGACGCCCCACGAGGCCTGCACCCCGGAGCCCCGGCAGGGCCGAGGGAGACGGGGCAAGGGCCGGGCCCGGGGCAGCAGAGCCGGTGCCCTGGCCTGCGTGGGGTTGACTGGGGAGGGCAGGGCTGGCCTAGGCCTGGGGGCAGCAGGGCACCTCTCTGCTGGCCAGGCGGACCCCTCCCCCCACCCCCAGGAGCCCCGGACAGGACCACCCCCACCAGCAGACCTGCTACAACCGGCTCTGAGCTGGGAAGTGAAGTCCCCGTGCACCCCTGGCCCAGCCAGGACAGGGATGAGGGCTCAGAGCCCAAGGCCACACCCCGGTGGAAGGGGAAGGCTTGGGGAAACCCCAAGGCAAGGGAGGGGACACACTGGGCCCCCGGACACTCTGCTTCAGGGCCTCCCCCCGCCTCCAGAACGGAGGAGCCAACTCTCACGGGCAGAAGCCCCCGTCCCCAGGAGCTCCGGCGTCGAAGAGAAACAAGGGCTCATCTCGAGGCTCCCAGCCCCCAAACCCACCCCCTGGCCCCAAGATGGAGTCCGGCTGCGCCTGGAAATCAATCATGTGAACTGAGCGAGACCAGGACTCGACTCCGCTTCCCAGCCCCAGCGGAGGCGGCCGCGCAGCAGCTCCCAGCTGGCCCTAGGCTGGGGTGTCTGGGGGCTCCAGCAGCCGGAGGAGCAGGGGGACCTCCCCTCGGCCCCTGGACACGCCGACCGTGACGGCCCACCCGGGGCCGCGCCTCTCTCCGCTGTGGGTCAGAGGGCACAGTGACGAGAGCGCCCACAGTACCAGAGGAACAGCCAGCTGGGCAGGTCGGACGCCCCGGGGTCCTCAGAAGGCTCGTCTGTCCTGCCCCCCGACACTCACACACAGGGGCCCAAGGCTCCGGCCAGCCCAGCCTGTGAGGACAGGGCAGCCCCAGCCACAGGGCGGCCCCGCGGACTCCCTGCCCCCAGCGCTGCCGGGAAAGGCCCGCAGCGGCACCCAGGGCCAGAGCGCCCAGGGCCGGGCCCGGGACGGAACCCTGGGGGATTTCCCGCCAGTCGCTGGCGGTGGGGCACGCGGAACCCGCAGCCTCTCCCCGGGGGCGCTCGCCCCGGCCCCCCGGCCCCCCGGCCCCCGGGCCCCGGCCGCTCACCATGGCCTCTCAGGGCCAGGCCCGCCCTCACTCCGGCCGGCGAGCCTCCACCATGACCCGGGTCCTCAGGTGCGCGGCCTCCCGGGGTCCGGCTCCCAGCCCCGCCACTGCCGGCCGGGGGCTCCCAGGGACGGGCTGCAGCTCGGTGGCTGGCAGCAGGCGGACGAGGCTTTTGAAGTTGGCTCCTCCAGCGAAGGCGGGCGGGAGGGAGGAGGCCCCAGGATCCCAGCCTGCCCCCTCCCTCTCCCCACCCCCTATCCAATCACTTCTTCAATGAACCTGACCCTGGACCCAAGGAGCTGGCGGGGCTCTCCCATCCAGCGGGTCGGGACGGAGGGGCCGGCCCCGGGAGACGTGCCGCCGTCCAGGAGGGGGTGGGAGCCCGGTGGGCAGAGGGCAGCACAACCCGGTGGGGGAGGAGAGCCAAGAGAGGGGGCCGCTCCCACCCCCCACCAGGGTCTTCCCCCGCGAGGAGCACTGTTCCCCCCCAGAGCCCAGCCACGGCAGAGCCAGGCGAGCGAGCCTCAGCGGCCCCCCAGGGCCAGCCCAGCCCCCGCACCCGGACTCCTGGGGTCCTGCCTCGGCAGGCCCTGGCCTGGGACTTCCCGCGGCCGCACTCAGCCGCAGCCCCGCCCACCGCAAAGCAGGCGCAGCCTCTGGGACCCACCACCTTCTGGAGGGGTGGGGGGTGTCAGTGCGGGAACAGCTGAAGGGCCTTTCCCCGGGACAAAGACCACCCTGAGAGGCTCACACTGGGTCGCCCTGGAGCTCTGGAACTTTCCAAGGGCCCCGCGGGAGGCCTCACCTGACTTCAAAGCCACGGGAGGCACCCGGGGCAGCTGCGCCCCCTTGAGCACAGGCGGCCATCTGTCTGGCCTGTGGCCACAGCCCCTCGCTCCCCCGGGCTGGGCTGGGGCTTCCCCGTCACGCGAGACCGGCAGCTGGCACTCAGCCCCCAGAAGCCTCGGGCTTCGACCCCGGTGCGGGGGAGGCCCCTCCGCCCGCCTCCCCCAGCGGAGCCGCAGCCCTCCAGCCCCCCCGCTACCCCCGCGCCTGCCCCCGCGCCCCAAGGACCCCTTTTCTCAGCCCCAGAGGGAGGCAGTTGCTTCAGGAAAACCGACGAAGCAGCAGAACCAGGTCGCCCTCGAATGCGAGGAGACCCTCCTTGCACGGGGCCAGGAGGCACGTACATCCGCCCGGCTGCTGCGCGCTCAGCCTCAGGCGCCATCAGGGAACCCCCACTTCCCCGCCACCCTCTGCACAAACCCCCTCGCACACGCAGAGCCGCAGGGGATGGGACAAGCCCACGGGGCCGCCCAGAGAGAACCCGCAGCACCAGCCCTGCCGGGAGCCTGGGGAACGTTTAATCGGAGAGCAGAGCAGGGGGCGGGGCCCGGCCCCCCCGGCCCCCCCCCGCGGCCCCGCCGCCGTCAGAAGGTGTTCTTGATGCGGGCAGCCACCAGCGCGAGGATCTCCCCGACCTTCTTCTGCCAGTTGGCGATGTCCTTGGACACGGCGCACCACAGCTCCCCGTGCCGCGGCTCCGCGTTCTCACAGCGCCTCCGCACCTCCTCCCGCTGCTCCTGCGGGCGCCCACGGGCCAGCTCTTGACGGGGCTCTTGACAGGGGGCTCCTCCCAGGCCCCTCCTCCCTCCTGCCCCACCAGGGACCCCGCCCAGCGCGGCCCGGGTTGGGACACGACCCTCCTCCTGGGAGCAGCCATCGCGGCACCCGGCTGTCGGCCTCGGGGCCGAGCCCCGAGGGCGCTTCCTGTGGGGACCCCAAGACAGCCTGGCCACCCCCACCCTGTGAGCCCAGCTCGGACACGGCCCAGGCTCCCCGGGAAGCCCACTGGGCTCAGGCCCAGCAGACAGATGCCCCGAGGCACGAGGACCCCCCTCAGGGCCCAGCTCCACTGCCACTTCGGCCGTGACCCCACGCCCCCTGCGCCAACGCACTGAGAGGCTGCAGGCCCGGCACCACAAACCCAGCGGAGGCGGGACCTGCCGGCGCCCCGCCCCGCCCCGCCCCACGGGGACCCACCTCGGTGCCGTGCTGCAGCTCAAACTTGTAGAAGAGCGCCCAGGCGTCGCCCAGGTCCGAGTCGATCTTCACCGTGCGGTGGAACCACTCCCGGGCCTTGGTGATCTTCCGCTCGCTCCAGAACAGCCTGCCGGGAGCGGGGCCCACGTGAGCAGCCTCCCCACCGCCCCGGCGCACACCGCCCTCCCGCGAGCCCCAGGCTCCCACACGGGGGAGCAGGGCCTGCTGCCGGGTCGGTGCGGCTGCCACCCTGGGCCCTCCGTCCGGCGCCCGGCCAGGCCGTCTCTTTCTGGACAGACCCACGCACAGGGCAAGGACTTCAAACTCCCTCACGTCCTTTCTCCTCTCTGGGTAAAACACAGGGGATGGAAGCCAACCCAGCAGAGAGCTGGACTGAAATGTCGATCAGGCAAAGAGGTGACGTTCTGGCCTGTTCCTGTCCCTCCAGGTCAGAATGCAGCAGGGGACCCACCTGAGGCGGACCGAGTGCCCCCGGACCCGCACCTCAGCGAGGACAGCGTGGGAAGGGCTTGCTCCCGCCTTGTGCCCAGCCCCGCCTCCCTCTGCCTCTCGCCGGACGGCACCCTGCTCCCTGCCCGGGTCTGTTACAGGACAGACAGAACAGCTTCAGGCCCTGATAGCTTGATCGCTTTTTAAGCCTTGCGGTGCTTCTAATTGCTGGGTGTTAGATAAACTGTGATTTAAAGAGCACAAACCCAGATAGGAGGCAGCCACCCGCCTGGGAACAGCAAGGAGTGACTTGTTTACTTTAGCAAAGCCTTTTACGAGGTTTTATGGCCGCCCTATCAGAAGTCCCCAGGGAGGCGGAAGCCCAGGGCAGGAGGGAGGCAGCCTTGACAGGCCCGGCTGGGCCTCGGGGCCTGTGGGCAGCCCTTGCCCCCAAAGCCATGGAGAGGGGGCGTCGGCAGGACCGGAGGAAGAGGGGCCAGGCCGCCCGGGCGCACGTCCGGGTGCGCTCAGGCCGCGACTGCCCGAGGGAGCCTGGGCCACACGTGCCGCCTCCCCCAGGGGAGGCTCTGAGCAGCAGCCCCTCCTGTCGGGAAGTCACCCCTAGAAGGAGGGGTCGGCAGCTCTCCAGACCCTCCACTTGCAGGCCACACCCCAACTTCCCGAAGCCTGAGCTCCCCGCCACACCCCCACATCTCCTCAGGGAGCCCTGACCAAGACCCAACACAAAAACTCAGGCTGCACAGCCCTTGGCGGACCTCCCCTTGGCCCCCGGCCACGCGGCCCAGGAGGTGGCCCCCAGTGCACATGTCTGCGCCCCCCGGGCGCACTGCCCGCCCTGATGGCTCCCACGTCCCCTGGGGGGGGCCTGGCTTCCCGCCTAGCACTGTGGGAACCATCTTCTTGCTTACAGCCCTTTATAGCCAAAGGAGCCTTGCTGACAAACCAAGCCCTGTGCGGGCCGTCGGCAACCCTGCTCCGCCTGCAGACCCGGGGCAGGTGCGCGCACGAGCGACCCGGCGGCCAGCAGAGAGCAGCCCCGTCAGGGGACCCGGGACAGAGGGGCTCAGGCAGCCCAGGCCCCGGGCCTCTGCCCAGAGACGCACTGCCTCAGATGAGGGCCGAAGCGCTTGGCCAGAGCTCAGTGGCCAGCGATCTGGCGAGAGGCCCTGGAGGCCTAGAGGGGCCCCTCGGTCAGCACCCCGACGGGACCCCTACTCACTTGGCTACGGCCAGCAGCACGTGGGGGTCGTGCTCACACTTCTTCAGGGCGTCGACGCTCTTGGTCTTCCTCTGGGGCCTGGCCTCCAGGAAGATGGCTTCAGACCACAGGACACCTAGGATGCAAAGACGCCGCCCTCAGACTCCGGCCTTGGCCGAGTGCCCGTCCACACCCGGCTGCCGGGCAGTGTCCTGCTCAGAGGGGACGCCGGGGGCCACACGGGCCCTTGTCCCACTGCCCGCCTGGGGCCCCGCAGCCACCAGGGCATGGACTGGCCAGCTTTCTGGGGGTGACCGGGTCGGAAGGGACAGGCCTCACTCCCACCGACTCCGTCCCTTCACAGCTGAGAGGGCAGCACAGCGGAACAGGCAGAGACGCCGTGCAGGCTCAGGCACAGAAGGGGCGACAGCAAACCCGTGTCAGGTTCAACACAGCGGCTGGTGAGCCGTGCTCTCGCACGCGCACGAAATTTTATGAAGCCGCTGAAAATCTGACATCCTTGAGGATTCAGTAACAGAAAATTCTGTTCTGAGCTTTAAAGAAAAAGGCACAAAACGTGCCTTTGGAGAAAAGCCCGAAGGCGTGACGGCCGGCCGCGCAGCGGCTCGCGGGTGGCTGCCACACCCCGCCCGCCCCACCCCGTTCACCCCGCATGGGCGCCACCCAGACTCGGAGACACGGGGGCCGCCG